CCTAACAGTAATTACTATACAGAACCATATTAATAATAACGGTAGTGAAAGCATATATGATAACAATAACAACAATACTATAATGACGGTAGATAATGATTGTAAAAGTGACAATGATAGTGATGATTGTAATGGTTACAATGATAGTGATGATAATGGAGTGAATTGTGACAATGATAGTGATGATGATGATAATGATATTGTAATGGTGACAATAATAGTGATACTGATGATGATGATAGCAAACATAATAACGCACAAACAATACACAATGATTATAATGATTATGAGACTACTGCTACCACTAATTGTAGGAAAAAAGATAACAAAAACTATGATAAATGACAAAAAATAATAGTAATAGTAATAATAATCATGATGATAATAATGATAATAGCCATAATAATAATGACAATGATCATAATAATAATAGTAATAGTAATAATAATAATGATCACAATAATGATAGTAATTATGATGATAATAACGGTAATGGTAGTACATAACGATGATAACAATGGTAATGATGATGACAATAATGATAGTAATAATAATGATAGTAATAATGATACCGACAGCAATGATAATAATGATTATAATAATGATAATAATTATGATAACAATGATTATAATAATAACAATAGTAATGACAATAATACTAACAACAATAACAACCATAATAACAACAATAATGATAATAAGACTAACAATAATAACAACCATAATAACAACAATAATGATAATACTAACAATAATAACAACCATAATAACAACAATAATGATAATAATAATAAAAAAAACGAACAAGCACGAATTCCACACAAGAGAGACCAAAAGACTGTAATCAAGGTTTTTGCAAAAGCCCTTTATTAGGCACCAACGTCTGGGGCTGATTAACTAATATGCGAGAAAAAAGACAAGAAGAAGAAAAAAAAAAAAAAAAAAATGTTGGAGTGAAACGAACTTGATTCATATGGTATTATTCAACTTATGATTATGAATGTGTTTATAATCATTCATTTCTTTATCATAACTTTCGTGTAATGTCTATGGTGATGGTGATGGTGATGATGACAATGATTATGTTAAATGTAAAAACAATATTGATGGTTAATGATATTGAAGAAGGAGATAGTACTAATAGTGATAACGATGGTGCTAACAATAACAATGATAATGATATTAGAATTAAGAATAATGGTATTTTTTAAAAATAGTAATAATTATAACGATGATAATAATAATGAAACATTAACAGCAATAACAATATATATATACATACATACATACATAATATATATATATATATATATATATATATATATATATATATATATATACTATGTGTGTGTGTACACACATTATATGTACACACGCATTCATACATATATTGTGAGCTAATTTGCTCCGTTATATAATAACAACAGCAATAATAATCATAATTATGATTATAATGATCAAATTATAGTAGATGAAAAATATATGAAGAAAACAAAACAACAGTGATAATAACAATAACGGTGATAACATCACTACTACTACAACCACAAGTAAACAAAAATAACCAAAACAATTACACCAACCAACAAGTTTTAACAAAATAATATTATAGTAAACAAAACAACAGTGATAATAACAATAACGATGATAACATCACTACCACTACAACCATAACTAAAGACCAAATAACCAAAACAACTACACCAACCAACAACATTTAACAACACAATAAAATTATAGTAAACAAAACGTGATAATAACAATGATGATAAAAACACTACCACTACAACCACAACTAAAGACCAAATAACCAAAACAACTACACCACCCACCAACCGACATTTAACAACACAATAAAATTGTAGTAAACAAAACAACAGTGATAATATCAATAACGATGATAAAAACACTACCACTACAACCACAACTAAAGACCAAATAACCAAAACAATTACACCAACCAATAACATTTAACAACACAATAAAATTAAAGTAAACAAAACAACAGTGATAATAACAATAACGATGATAACATCACTACTACTACAACCACAACTAAAGACCAAATAACCCAAACAATTACACCAACAACATTTAACAACACAATAAAATTATATAAAATTATAGTTAACAAAACAACATTGATAATAACAATAACGATGATAAAAACACTACCACTACCACCACAAGTAAACAAAAATAACCAAAACAACTACACACCCAACCAACCACATTTAACAACAACACGCTAACGAGGCCCTAACTACCCATTCCCTCGACTCACCTTCATGCATGTACGTGAAGGACGCCGTGAAACCCCGCGCCTGAACAGCCAAGTTACTCACGAACAGCAACTCGAGTCTCGGGTGCAGCGTCAGCAAGGGGTTCACCACTTCACTCCCGCAGTAACGCCCGACGAATTCTTTCACGCCCGTAAATTCGACGGTCGTTATATCGAGGTAGTCCGAGAGGCAGCTGTTGGGTCGTTGGAGTGTTTGTTGTGGAATGAATTGTTAATAGGATTAGGATTTTTTTTTTTTTTTGTGGTTATTGTTTTTTTTTTTTTTGGTGTTATCAATAATAATATAATGATGATGATAATAAT